TTTTTTTTTTTTTAAAAAAAAGTTCCCACATTAACTATTTTTTTCCCCCCCCCCCCCAACAGCAACAGCAACAACAGACCCATTCTTCCCCCCCCCCCCCCCCCCCAAAACAATGCACCATTCTTCCCGGGCTTCAGTGGATAGATTTAGCACAGACTACTGCTGCAGCCCGGACCAGACACCCGGCTTGCTTTTGCTCATCCCGTCGACCTAGCTGATTGGACGGCCGTCGCAGATATTACCTGAGGGGGAACATTGAGGGATTCCCCCGTCACCCGTCAGCTGCCATCGCTCCCTCGGGCTCAAACTAGCTCGTCCAACTGCATCTCTAGCGTGAGTCCTGGCTGCGCTGTTGGTCCAGTCGATTGCTATTAGTGTCTTGGCCATTGTTTGGGGCATTTCGAGTGCAAATTGGCTTCAGGTCTCTCAGTGGCGGCCTCTCAAAGGGTTCCCCCCCCCCCCAATAATGCTCGAATTTCAATTGTTTGGGGGTGAGGGAGCTCTCTCGAAATCCCCTCCGCGCCGACCCCGCGCACAAACGAAGTGGGTGCTCCTGCAGAGTGCATGTACAGCACGGTTTGGATTGGAATAATATGGGGATGCTCAAGCATGATATGGTATCTGATGGATGCAAGAAACACAATAGACGGGCGATCACCCAGAATCAAACAACCAGCTGAACCTACGAGCCAAACTACGAACGTTGCCAGTGGCAACTATTCAATCCTCCAATATCCAATATCCACTCCCCCATCCCAGACTCTCGGACCGCTGGGACCAAAAGCTTGGAAGAAGCTTGGTGGTCAACAGCTAATTCCAGCCACGCCCGAGCCAGTCTGTTGAACACTCTCTCTCCTTGACTAAGCTCTTAGCCTTCCGGTGCGGTTTGGACGGGGGACCCTGCACGAGCTTTCATACAGTCTCTGTAGGAACCCGTGGACTGTACGACGCTTGTCGGCACTCTGGCTCTGGAGACGCCTCAGATCTTGAAGGTGTAGATGAAGAAGGATGAATATGTAAAAACAA